TGTTTCTACACTCCTCAGCTCACAGCTCACCAGGGCCTGGAGTGACCAGCAGGACTGTGTTTCTACACTCCTCAGCTCACAGCTCACCAGGGCCAGGAGTGACCAGCCGGACTGCGTTTCTACACTCCTCACCTCACAAGAACTGCACACCTGAAATCATGAGTTTTCCAATTTCTGTCCTAAATCAGTGCGGAGAATTTTTTTTTTCACAGGCTGAGAAAGGCACATCGCTTTTCATTACAGCTATGTGTGCTTGTGCTTTTGATCAGGTATATCTTTTCCACAAACGTGCACATTGATTTTCTGTAAGCTTTTTCATCCAACATTAACGAGCTCTAGGCTCTGATCTTATTCATTAGCAGATCCAGCTTTGGGGAGCTGAAGCCGCTGAGCTACAGATTGTTATTGGAACCTGTTATTGAACCGAACGCGGGATATTAAAGCACAGCGGATCCCCAGGGAGACAAGAGGAAAGGAGGGACGCAGTGCGATTTGAGTCCTGCAGCCGTCACAGAGAGGCAGGGAATGCTGATAAGCAGCACATTTCCCTGTAAATCACTCCCTGTCCTTCCGGAGACTTCAGAGTGCGTTCCGCTCACAAACTACCCCCGTAGTGCCAGTGTCACCCCAATCAGGGCCCTGCCTGGCGCGGGGGAACCCAGCCGGACAGACGAGTCTCCGGACACTCTGGTCAGTACATCCGAGCAGCAGATTTCCCCCCCGGACTGGAAGTTCTGGGCGGCCGTGTTCGTTTCATGAAAACGAAAATCGGGCCGTGCTTTCCAGTGCCTGGGCGTACGTTGTATGAAAAGCGATCGTTTTTAAACAGAGAAGCAGGAGTTTCTCCTTCTTGACTTGCAGCGCCTCGCCCTCAGCTGGGATTTGGAGGCTGATCTCACAGTAATTTACTTATAGAGCAGCATTAACATGCAGCGCGGATCCAAAGGCCAAGGAGGAGTTTCTCAGCGTTATTAAAGCAAATGTAATGCAAGGCTCCCAGGAAACGCTTTGACAAATAGAGTTTGAATACTTAAGGAGACAACGAATTTTCACAACTTGTTTGTTAAACAGCCGAGGGGCTGGGATCAATTAAAGATAAGTGTGTGTGGCTCAGCATCCTGAGAGGAAGGGCCAATGTACCAGCCTTTGCAGGCACAGCCCAGCAAGCAGCACTGCAGTCTTCTGAAACTGGCAGCTTGACCGAAGCGTTCATCCAGTTTTAAACAAGGAGGTCAGAGCCGGTGTATGTAGGTGTAGGGGTTAGAAGATAAACCCAGGGTTAAGAACAGTGATGCATCGTGAGTACGCATATTAATCAACTGTTTGTCCAATCACCGCTCTACAGGGGACAGAGCTGCTAGCTTTGACTTAATATGAGTAAAAGGTGAAACGACAAGTAGCAAGACTGTTTAATCTCCTGTACCGTTGGGACTGGATGGAGAGTTCGTTAATACCCATAAATCATGTGGGGATTAATGCTCATATGCGTAAATGTATATTTCTCACTGAGACCTTTCAACTTTTCATGAGTCCCTCAAGGAAGGAACTGGCGATTCCAAAACAGACAGAAAGAGGAAGCTGGTCTCTGACAGGTCCAAGTGTGACGAGTACAACTCTCCCTGCTGGGATTTGTTCCTGGTCACTCTCAGGCTTCGAGCATGCGGTGCTGCTCCTTAGACACAGGATCAGAGGACACAGTTCCTTCAGCCTGTCAGTGTAGGACAGCCCCTTAATACCTGTATTAGGTCTCCTCACAGTCTTCTCTGTTCAAAACTAAAGAGATTCAGTTCCTTCGGCCTGTCAGTGTAGCACAGTCCCTTAATACTTGTATCAGTCTCCTTACAGTCTTCTCTGTTCAAGAGTCTCTTTAGACTCAGTTCCTTCAGCCAGTCAGTGTAGGACAGCCCTTTGAGCCCCAGGATGTATTAAGTTGCTCTTCTTTTGACTGATTCCAGAAAAGCACCATCTTTCTATAACATCGTCACCAGACCTGTACACAATATTCTAAATGAGCCATTACTAGACCTTTTAACTGTATACTGTATCCTATATTGTTATTGTTAAACTACAGAAGTGTTCCCTAGTTCTGTGTGAAAGTGACAGCAGGAGCCCACACTGCCTGGAAGAGACTCCAGCCTCCTGACACAAGATCCAGGTCATTCCCTTGAAACAGCATGTTTCATTCCCATCCCACCATCCAGTGGGACAATTCCCGGAGCTTCTGCCTTGATGCGAGCTTTGAAAAGATCCGCAAGATCAAGTATCCACATCACGGACATGTGCACGTTGTTAATGGGATGGAAACTTCTTACAGAACAAGGCTTTCCTGGGGCTCTAATGCAGTTTGGGGAAATGGGTGAAATGTAAGTGTATTGGAAGAGGGAGGTGAGTGTTTTTAATCGGTGGCGGTGGACAGATGCTGTGAATTCATGACGGTGCAGAGGCCAACAGAAAACAGGATACCCTCCATGCTTGGGTAGGAGCAGGTTTCTTGCCATTCAGAAGGTGCTGAATTCTAAAGCCCAGTTTTCTGTGGTATTGGTGACAGTGACATTTATCATATTTACACAGTCAATTATTAATATTTATATGAAGGATCCACGGAATGGTGACTCTGGGGCTGCCCTTGTGCACCATGTCCAGGGAAGCTCGTTCCGAATGGTCACGTCATGTTGGCCAGCCCCGAGCTCTGATCTCACCAAGAGACCACCTGCCATCTGCCCTGCAGCAGGAAGACAGAAGCTCTTCACTGGTCTCGGCGATCTATGGCAGCAGGGGGCCAATGGCAGAGCTCGGCGCTGTGCTTTAGCAATGCCTGGAGTTAGGACCCAGCACAGCAAGCCTGTTCACTCAGATCCTCCAATGAAAGTGAAGGCAGCTCCCAGTTTCCAATTCAAGGGGAACTGCAGTCCCAGTTTCTCAGACCGGTTTATCAAATCTCGGTGACGAAATAAATCCATTGCCAGGATAGACAACAATCACCAATTCTGAATTGAGCACAAAATCGTGAACTTTGTGCAATTGCAGCTGCTGGACTTGCCACAGGAGAGAACGAGAGAGTTTGCAAGAGTTGTGATGTGATGCCGCCCTCCCTGCTCTCTAGTCACCATATTGACTAATGTAACGCGATGAACGAGTGAATAAGTACTGCTTGTGCAGCAAATATGCACAGCAGAAATGTTCCTGCACGCAGAGCTGTTAAGTAAGTTGTATTTGTTGGGAAAACCGTTTCGAAGTCAAGAAGAATATTTCTATTGGGTTACAAGAGACGTACAGTATTCACAAGCCTGCTTGTTTACAAAGTAACGGGACCGCAACGCATAGGTGGACGTTTTGATGCCTAGTTCTCAATCTCAGAAAATGGTGCCACAAATACCTGGAAATTTAGTCTATTTTGTGATGTAAATTGGGGGGTTTTACACACTATGAGTAAGTTGGACTTTTATTGTGGTTTTAAATGCACTCATCAGTGCTGATTCCTTCTAACCCACAGATATACTGTAAAAATAGAGTTGGAGTTCCCCTTCAATACAATTTATACAGCTCACTATAACACTGGACGAACAGTCGAATTAATAATATGTATACAGCTCACTGAAACACAGGAGTAACAGTCAAATTAAGAGTTAAATTGTTTTTGAATACTTTTAATGAATTTTTTATAAGATCAATCAGAAATACCTAAAATCCACCAGTCATTCTTGTTCAGGGAGTTATTTGTGCTTATTTGTCTTATTTGTGCTTATTTGTGCTTATTTGTCTGACACTCCTGGCAGCTCTCTGTTCGTGTGCTGTATCTATATCCCTTTAATTACATTTAACATAAATGGTTCTTGACAGTGCAAGAGTTATAAATTATAAGGCAAGTTCCATTGTTTGAAAGCAGCACAGGAAGAGATCAGTAGGTGCTGTGTGTTAGTAGTAACCTCCTGGGTTGCTCAGGGGAGGCTCAATTCTGTGAACACCACTCCTGTCACTGTCTCACTGGGTGATGAGGCGATCAACAGCTAAACCGGCACTCAAGAGGAGATTAACCTCCTTCTTCTTCCCTCTCTGTGACTCTAAGCACAGACATCCGATCAGCCAGCAAAGCCATCTTCTCCCTCAATGACTTCTCCTGCTGTTGTCAATGAACTGGGGTTTTACTCACAAGGAACAAAGACTTGATCTTTCCATACGTATATACTGTATAACATTTTTATATCATATCACATCTTTATATTATTTTTAAACAGCTGAAGACTATCATTGTCCAAAATGCAATTTTTAACTGTGTTCAACATGTAAAAAGCTTTCTTTTTCAGTTATTTTTACACTGCAGTTCAATTACTCTAAAGTTATATAGTGTGTACTGTATATCCGATATAAGCTCATAGAACAAGAAAAACATGAATTAGTCCACAATGGACTAACTATGCACTCCCTGTCTGTGCAAATTTACAGTGATTTTCCCTGTCCATGCTAGCTCTCTCTGAAGACTCATGAGTCTCCTCTCTCCCACAACACACTGGATCTCCTCTCTCTGAAGACTCATGAGTCTCCTCTCTCCCACAACACACTGGATCTCCTCTCTGAGGACTCACTGAGTCTCCTCTCTCCAACAACACACTGAGTCTCCTCTCTCTGAAGACTCACTGAGTCTCCTCTCCATGAAAAGACTTGATCTCCTCTCATCACTCTCTCATTAGGTATTAGTATACATTCTGATGATCAGTAGTTATTACACTCTGACTAATATAGTATGTCTGTAATAGTGCAATTTATGATATTTTCATTATTTGTAGCAATGTGGTGAAATACCTTAAAAATCACCTTTTGATTTAACAGATGATTAAATAAATGATGATGACAACATTACTTCCTCAAACGTCTCATTAACTTCACTGCTTACTTGCTTTGCTGCCCAAGAGCCTATTTTTCCAATATTCTGTAAATATTTTTACTCACAATGAAAATCAGGTCAACAATCAACACCATCCTCATCACCAACATCACTATTATTGATGTACAACTACTTGATCACAAAAACGACCACAAAAATCGTAAGATAACCACCACCACCAATAATAATAATAATAATAAGCCCTGTTCCCCTGTATCGCTGCAGACTCTCGAACCCGTGCCTTACCGGAGGTGCAGTTGGTGAAGAAGCGAGGGTCCAGTGCAGCTGTGTCCCGGTCTGCTTGTCCGCCATGCCCGCCGTGCCCACTGTACTCGGCCGAGATGCGGAAGGGCGCCCACGAGAGACCCAGAGCCAGCCGCACCAGCGCCCAGCTGCCCAGGAGAGACAAGACGAGGAGGGTGAGGAGCAGAGCGCCGCACCGGGCAGCACGCCCACAGGGCCCCCCGGAGGAGCTGCTCAGCCCCGGGGGCGGCACCTCGGACCCGGGCTCCGTGACCCGGGCTGGGCCCGCTGTCTTTGGCATTGGGTCGCCCCTGCACGGGAAGAATCCTGTCTTTGTCTCTGGATGGCTGTGCTCCTCTCTGTGCCCTTGTGTCTGGCTGCCAGCGCACTGCCTGCACTCTCTTCCACCCCGTCTGGGTGCTGCCTGAATGTACTTCCTAATTTCATTACTGGATTCAGGCTGCAGACCAATGGCCCTCTCCCCCCACCCTTCGCTAGCCCTGATAAGGCCTCTCTTCCAATCCATCTGACATATTCCGTAGCTCTGCCCTCCTCTTCCAATCTCGCTCTCTTCCCTCTCTCTCGGACCTGTCAATTTTACTGTTATCTCACTTCAGTCAGCGGGAAAGAGCAATGTGTCTCGCTCGTGTGAGAAGTGTCTATCCCAGCACACACACTGAAGACATCACGACACCACTGACTGAGCCACTGGCGGACTGAGCTGCTGACTGACTGAGTCACTGACTGACCGGACCACTGACTGACTGGACCACTGGCTGATGGAGCCAATGACTGACTGAACCACTGGCTGACTGAGCCACTGACTGTCTGAACCACTGACTGACTGAGCCACTGGCTGACTGAGCTGCTGACTGACTGAGTCA